CCCTACAACCTCTCCAACACTAGTTATTATTTCTCCTGTTAATGATAGCCATTCTAACAGGTGTGAGATGGTATTTTACTGTAGCTTCGATTTGCATACGTCTTTTCGTATGTCTGTTGGTCATTTGTGTGTCTTCTTGGGAGAAGTGTCTGTTCAGGTCCTCTACTGCTTTTTTTTTACTCCACTTTCATCTCCTCAGCCATAAATGAGAGTAGTTGAGAGTCATTTCTCTCCTATGAAGAGTGTATTACTTTATGTAGTTTATTTTATTTAGGTTTATTTGGATCCCCAGATCTCTGAGAGGAATTTTTAAAACTGTGGTTTTGTCACTAATCTGGTTTCTTTGGTTGTAGTAAAAGGAGGAACAGAATGTGACTCTCTATACCCTAACAGGAGAGGACATTGTACTACTTGTCTTTGATACTACTCTATTCATTTGAAATCTCTCTGAATTTTTCTTGAAAAACATAAAGAAACTGGAGGTCAGTGATGAAAAACAAGACAATAACAGCCTTCATTCTCCTCAGACTGGCAGATGACCCTCAACTTCCAGTTCTAATTTTTATGCTTCTATTTCTCACTTACATGTTGAGTATAACTGGGAATCAGACCATCATATTTCTCACTTTAGTGGACTCCCACCTTAAAACACCCATGTACATTTTCCTACAGAATTTTGCCTTATTAGAATTTTCATTTACACCTTTTTGTATTCCTAGATATTTGTACAACATAGCAACAGATGGCAGGTTATTTACATATAATATTTATGTCATTCAAATGTATTTTATTGATGTATTTGGAGTAACAGAATTTTTTCTCTTGGCCATTATGTCTTATGATCACTACGTGGCCATCTGCAAACCCCTGCATTATGTAACCATCATGAACAACAGAGTCTATGGAAGGCTTGTCCACTGCTGCCAGACAGATAGTGCATTGATCATACTCCTATCACTTGTGACAGTAAATCTAGAATCCTGTGACTCTAATGAAATTGTCTATTTTTTTCTGTGATTCATCTCCTAGCTTGAAATTTTCATGCTCAGACATATGGCTTTTAGATCAAATGATGATAGCCTTCATCATCACCTTTCTGTGTGTTGTTCCGTCCTACATATACATTATCAAGAACATTCCTTGGCCCAGCAAAGGAAAAGGGCCTTTTCTACCTTTTCTTGCCACATGATTGTACTTTTTATCACTTAAGGAAGCTGTATATTTGTGTACATCAAGTCTTCAGCAAAGGAATCAGTGGCTATTAATAAGGGTGTGACAGGGCTAATGACATCCATCCTTTCTATGTTGAACCCATTCATTTACATCTGAGACACAAACAAGTGAAGCAAGGTTTCAGTGACTCATTCAAAAGAATTGCATTACCCTCAAAGAAATGAAAGAATGCTGAAACCTAGGATTCAAGTTTTTAAAATATCAGGCATTCCTAAATATAAATTTTTACATTATAAAATTATTCTATCTTCCTCATCTGTGCTCTAATTCAGGTTAACTTCCTCAATACATCTTAAAGCCCAAATATCATTGCATTTTTTACTCTTCTTATAAATGAACCTCTATCAAGATAACATCCCTTATCAGATGACATGACTCTATGTTATAGTAAATATCTTAAATATTTTATCTTCTCCAGCTTAACCAATACTATAGAATTTTAAATGATGTAAAACAAGTATAACTCAAAACAAAAATTAGTGCCTAATTTATGAATGATGTGTTTAAAACAAACTGACACTACTCCACCATAAAAAGTTGTATTCTAAAATGAATATAAAAAGAAAAATTTTAAAAGTAACCTAGTGTACACACATACTTGATACTTTAGGGCCTGGACTGTTGGGTGGAACTAAGCTCTCTCATAAACCTGACAGTAAGTCTTAATGATTGAGATGGACCAAACATTCAATAGCACTAAAATGGACAGATGATCCGACATTCTGGAATATTTTGGGTATCTTCTGTATACCTATCCAGATTTACTTTTGATCCTTTTCCATTGTTTTCTGTGCCCATGAGACTTATCCTATGAATTTCATAAGTAGGTTCCCTTGACCTCTGGTTTCAAGGATGTTTAACTAAAGATCTGATAAGAGATAAGAGTTAAAGAGGAGACCGAAATTGAGTACCTGTTTTCACCATTTATTCCTGATGGAGTTGACAGTGGTTGGTGGCATCCTTTTACCAAGAGCCAGAATTCCTGCAATACAGCTACCTTAGAACCACACTCACTTTCTCCACATTCCAGTAACTGTTCCCCTCATTTTTTCCCTTCAGGCGAGGGGGTATTAATGGCTCCCTGTGTTGCTATACTTGCACTACTACATCATATCTTTTTGGTTCCGTTAATATCAGATACAATTTTCTGGTCTTTTAAAAAATATGCTATACATAAATGTCTTATCTCTTTTCTGCTATTATATTATCTAACACACCATAGAACTGACAAGACTTTCACAGTTCTTCTTAATGTTTGAGTACTTGTTATCAAATAATTTACACCTAGGTTTTAGATGAATAAATAATTTTATTATCTGGAAAACTAATGTACTTAATCTTAGATAGTCTCTTTGATCATGAAGAATGTTGAACATTCATTCAAACTTCTTCAGTCATCCCTGGAATCTCCTTTTAAAATATTATTTCATATCAGAAAAATATAACAATTTAAATTACCCAATCTTGTGCTCACTTTGGCAGCACATATATTAAAATAGGAAAAATACAGAGAAGATTTGCATGGCCCCTGTGCAAGGATGACAGAAAAATTCGTGAAGTGTTCCATATTTTTTAGAATAAGTTCTTTAGCAAGGAGATTGAAACCATCGAAAAGAACAGAATAGATCTTCTGGAGATAAACACACACACACACACACACACACACACTGCAAAAGTTGAAAAATGAAATAACAGGCTTAGGAAATAGTGTCGATCAAAGACAGAAATCTAGAAATAAAACAGAAGGAAGAGGCGAGAAATCGAAGAATAAAAAATAATGAAAGAGAAAATCAAGAACTAGCTAATACCATCAGGAGAGGAAACATAAGAATAAAGGGTATTATTGAAGGCGAGGAAAAGGAGCAGGGACTAGAAAGCATTTTCAGACAAACAGTGGATGAGAATTTCCCAAATCTAAGGAATGAGCTGGAGCTTAGAATTCAAGAAGTCAACAGAACACCCAATTATCTCA